CTCCACAGAGGGGGCAGCACTGAGACACTGAGCTGGGCCTGTGCTGGTGCTCCTATCGCCTAAAAAAAATGGTTTCACAGAACCCTGTGATCCTGTGAAGTCTAGATATGAAGAACAGCAGTCGACAGAGAGAACAGCCAAAGAAAACTCCAGGGGCTTATGGACGGGGTTAGAAAGTACAGAAACTGTTCTCTGCCACCTTTTCACGCGCTTCCTCACAGAGGTGTGAAAAGCAGGGAAATATATAATTGTTTTAGTGAAAATGTTTAGTTATCTCCATTAAATAGCACTGACAGGTGAAACGCCTTAATTTTTGCAACTGTTACTGAAGTCTGGTCGGTGAGGTATGCCAGTCTTCCAAGTCATCTCGTTACCAACTCCCTGAAAAGAAAAAGGAATTCAGGAAGGTTTCTTCTTTGCTGCACGTGAATGCATTTTCAACAAATAAAGCTCACAGCTCCACCTCTCCAGGTGCAAAGCCCATTTATCTGATCAGAAGCGCGACTCTTTTTGCTGTGAAGTCTAGATGTATTTCTACGAAAAGCTGTGTAAGAGACCTGGTTGGAACTAGCTTTTGAAATATTGCTCAGGGTAGTACTGAAGAATTTCGGTATTCAGCAAGGTGTCTAATGAGTTTATTTGAGTACTGGAGGGAATTCTGCTACTTTTTTGGGACACCTGAAGAAACTGTTAGAGCTGAAAGCGTAGTTTAAGCTTACATGGCAACATCTCGTCATGTTCAGATATATTTTATGCCGTTACCTTCGATTTGCAGTACTCTCTGAAATTGATTTTGTGTTCTAAAGACAAAGCACACACATTAGCACAGAGAAGGGCTTTTTCAGTGTTTTAAGACTTTCTAGGATCAGTCCATGATTTTGGGGAAGATCTCAAGTGAAAACCAGTTCTCTCATCGCAAGTGGTCCTCCATGTTGGCAAGCCCGTGTATGTTAACAGCAGCCCCCATGTCTTTGTCTGCTGCCTCGGGTGTAGCTTACAGACAGCCCAGAACTGGCAATGCAGGAAGGCTGTCCTGGAGCGGTACGCAAATGCTGTACTTCGGCTTTTGCTTTCTTTTGCAAAACAAAATCTTGTTCAGTTCAACCTTAGGTCAAAATTACTGTCCCTTTAATTGCATCCTGTACTAATTGTGGATTAGTAACCCAAGAACCTCTTAAGCCGTACGAAAAAATGAAGTGTGGCAACTGAGAATTGGTATTTTGTGACTGCTCAAGTAGCAAGCTCTGGTGTGAAGGGAAAGTTACCCTCAGGCCACAAAGCGTATGTGATGTGCAGGGTATAGATACTGTTTAATATAGCGCAGTTGGCAGGAGGCATTTTCGTCTTGTCTTTTTTTGGTGGTGCTGGACACTTCTCAAATTTGATAGCGATATTTCCACTTTATTTATATATATTTAAAACTGCACTACTCTCCTTGGAAGCTATTTTTTTTTTTAAATTTTGGCCATGAGGCTTTTTTTTTTCCTCCTTCAGTAATTTCATAAACAGTGTTACAGTAACATGTAGCATCCTACTGCGTCCAAGCGGGGCTCGGTACGTAAGCCCTAACAAGGCTCTCTGAGGGTGAAATTCTTCAGTATGTGTTACGTGTTTCTCTGTAGCCTGATCTCATCCCATGTCATCTTGAACATCCCCTTAAATCAAGAAGCTGTTTGGCTGCAAAGCACAGGCATGGTCACAAAATGGGCTAATTCTGCATCTAGGAAAATATTTGCATACCAGTAATTGTTAAGAGCAACTTTTTCTACTCTGTCTTCCTCAAAAAAAAAAAAGTTTAGCTATTGTGTAAGTTAAGAGGCAAGATCCAAACCCACCAAGCTGGAGGTTCTTGCTCTTTACCATGTTGGTTTTTTTTTCTATTACTAGGAAAAAAATGAAAGTTACTTTGGCAGCTGTACTGTCAGATAAGGCCGTATCTGGAATTTAAGCTTTGCCATAGACCAGTTTATTCATAGTGCATCTCTAGCCTTGAAAGGCTAACGAATTTCAGTCTGAAAAAATGAAGACCGTTGATAAAGACACCCACAAAATGACACTTTCTTTGAAACAGAAAGCTGTTTAATTACCTCCAAACAAGAGTCAAAAGACCAAAGATGAATCTGTACCAGTGAGCAACCAGTGTTCAGTGTGAAGGGAAGGGCAGTTAGTGACTTAAAAGTGAAGCTATCTGCATATCTGAGCACCCTGCCCTGCTGCTCTCAGCACAGGTTTTTATTCCAGGTTAATCTTAGTGACTCCTACATATGCATGCAGCAGTCTGAAGTATATTCAGTACTGAGTTTCAGCGTCTCCTAATATCAATCTTTCTTTTCTAGTCAAATACTGGAAATAATGGCAGCAGTAAGAGAAGATGACCCACTTGAGTTGGCCAATACTCTATATAACAACACTATTAAAGTCTTCTTTCCAAGTATATAAAGTTGTTTTTCTTATATTTATTCAGCATAACTTCAGTAAATATATTGCAAAAACTTAAAAATTATCCTATCTGCAAGTTCTTATCACTGGAAGCCAATATGTAATGCGGGTTGGTTTTTTTATGGTACAAGATTAAAGCTGCTTTTGAAAAGGTGGTCTGCATTTGTGCAGTTTCTCAGCCCTGTGTCCCTCTCCTCAAGATTCAGGATCAATTTGAAGGGTAGCCCTCTTGCTGGATGCCTTACAAGATGAATACCAGGCTGCCAGTTCACATGTAGAGCACTTCAAGCCACTGCTGGTAATTCAGAAGCGTTTAACACATCAATGGCATGCTTTGCTACTTCACCAGAAAGCTTAGCAGTTTCATCTTTTGTTCCACATATGCAAATGCTATAACATTAAGTCTGCTAACCTAAATTTTTTATTTTTTTTTTTTATTTTTTTTTTAAAAACACAACTCACTAGTCTTTAGCGCTAAAGCTCTGCTAATACTGAAATATGGTAAAGCTGCTTTGGTTCAGGCTTTTCATTTCTGATTTGACCCGCTGAACAGTGTTTTCACCAGTAGTTTTCATTTGCATCCAGACCTCATAGATCACGGATTACTGGTATACAGTCTTTGGCACAGCATTATCACTACATCAATTAAAGAGTGTTTTTCCAACCATCTTAAAAACATGTGAAAACATTTTATTCCATGTACAATAATGTACATAATTTTAAGGTGGTCATGAAAGAGACCAGCAAAAATTAAGAGGTATATTTACAGTAGCACACACCACAGTAAACAACCACCATTCACAGATTCAACACTGAGATACTGCTGTTGTGCTTAAGTACAATAACTACAAAGTGATACTTTTATTCTGCTGAAGTCATTCTTAAACAAATACCTCACTGCTCAGTAAAGGACATCTTAATCACCAAGAGAGTTAGAGTCAACATGAAGAGTCTCGTTCAAGTGCTGTGCCACGCAGTCGTCATCTTCCTCATCACTATCGGAACTGTCGTTATCTTCATTTAATTCATTTTCAGCATCAGCAGCTGCTTCTGCAACATGTACAGGATTTTCGTTTGGTGCCACAAACCCATTGTTGTTAGAAATACTGGCAGTTTCCTTGTCCTCAATATACACTTTCTGATGGCACATCGGGCAAGTGTCCTGGATGTACAGCCACTTCCGAAGACAAAGTGCATGAAAGTAATGGTTGCACGGAGTAATGCGAGCCGAGGTGGTGAACTCATGGTAGCAGATTGCACATACGTCATCTATTTCACGTAACCGACTTCCTTTTACCTCTGGAAGCGAGTTTATTTTCTTAACAGCAGTCCGGCGATTTATAAAAGTCTTCCAGCCATTCTTTGCTTGCAAGTAGATGTTGAAGTACGCGTGCAGACACATCATGCAAGCGCGAATCTTGCTTCCCGATTCAAAAACCATTGTGTAAGCTCCGTTTCCAAACATGATGACTCCAAATATAAACTCAATAATATTGCCAGTCGAACGAACATAATAGACATAATCATCAAGTTTTTCCCATAGCACATTGTAGTAGCCATCAATCATAAACAATATATAAACAGTGATAGAAACTATGACTTTTAGGCAAAGCTCTACACAGAACGCGGTAACGGCAAAAAGCCACGTATTTAGTGCATAGTGGTGCCAGAGGATGTAACTGAGCAGAACTGGAAGGATGAAAAGGCAAGCGGAAACAAACAGTACGGGGAAGTGTCTGCGAAATGACGACACGTGGGAGGCACTCAGAGACATCAGCACAGGGTCTGTCATTCCATGGATAAAATGCAGGACTGCAGTTAACAAAAGGCACATGTTTCGACTCAGGCGAACTAATCGTTCTTCTGGTTTCAGCCCACTTAGACCAGTCTGCAGAGCCAAAATGAAAAACAAGACGGGCGCTACAAAACCGAGCCTTTTGTCATCCTCATCAGTTGATCCGATGAAGGCCAAGATACCAAGTCCCAAATAATGGGCTACGGAGGAAATGACGGCACTCATGCCTAACACAGTTAACGTAGAGTCACACCCACTTATGATCAGGCTGCAAATCAGTTCCCAACAGTTATCCCACGATATCAAGAAGAATTTTTCTTCTGTATTAGTTTCAGCCATCTTTACCACGTACGTTAATACCACAGCTTGTGCTGTAAGTCTCGTTAGCCAGAAGACACGCAGTACAGCTGGAAACCGAATCCTTTTCCATGTATCTTCCATCAGCAGCTGTAATCCATAAATGCGATACATGTGCCTCACCAGCAGATAAACATAGCGCACCGAATAATAGAACCATTTAATTTTCGTTACTAAAATGGCTGTGGTATTTAGTGTCAGAACTAGGCCTGAAATAAAAACTAGTATCTGCCGGACATTGAAAGGTAATTCAACCACCAAGCCAATTACAGGAATCAGTATATCCAGGATGATCAGTTGAGAGTATATGGACTGCACGTTCAGCAACGTAACGTATCCAATTCCAAAGGTAAGCTGAAGGATGGAAAGCACCATCCATAGCGAAGGTCCTTTATGAGGGAAGATCTGAATTCCGAACGCGGCTGTGTAGTAGGCACTGTGGAAGTTTATGTGCAAAGCAGCATAGTAATTCACCAACACTGAAGTCGCAGCCAGCAGAAATGCTGAGGCGATCATATAAAACTTGAAAAGTGCTCGCTGTTGTAAGACCAGAACAATACTGGATACAAAGACACCTAAAAACAGATTGAAATCATTTAGTTCTCAGCAGAAATTCAACAAGAGATTTTAAGCTATTCGCTCTGGACCTGCATTTATTTAATGTATCACTTCCCAACTAGTCACTCGTAACTTTACATTACCAATGGTGCCCTTGTCGGAGAACAGACAGGAGGATGACTTTTATCTCTGCGTTTAATACATCTGTGCACTGCAGCTGCGATGCAAAGCCAATGCAAGCATTAAGTCAGTTACTGTTAAGTTCATCTGCAGCTTCAGACTAGAGCAGTGACAACTCCCAGCCTTTCAGCCTTAGTCTTGAAATCTAAGGGTAGACAAGTTCTAAAAGCAGAAAAGAATTGCCAGATACAGCATCACCTCTATAGGCAAAGTTAGTAAATGTTACTCATTTATTCCTTACTAAGTCCCCAAATTCACTTGGGCCTATGTAGTTGAGCGCTTGGCTCAAGCTGGAGTACTAAAGATAATGGCTGCCAAAACAGTTTAGCTAAACCCTTGGATGGGAAAGTTTCTGTGAAGGCATCCCGAAACAAACGTCTCATGGAGAAGACCTTCCGCAATCTGAAGTGTTTGTACACAGAATCCCAAACTGCACCAACAGCCTCTTTGCCAGCGCCAGCGCAAACTTGCATCTTACTCGCTGGAAGTCAGATTGAGATCCTTGAAATTCCTGTTTCCTAACCTTTCCCTCAGACTGACCATGAACACATCTTGACCATGACTGGAAAGCCTGCACCTTCTGATGACAAATCCTATCGCAGCTTCTGTAGTACCTTGGTATTACATTTGTGACCTTGCAGTAAACTCCTGTAGCACAGCTTATGAATTTCTCTACTATGTACCACATCGGTAAGGGCTCTTCCCTAACAGATGTTGAATTCAATGTCATTTATCACCAGATCCACTTCTTTAAACATTTTTTTTTTTTTCATTCAGGAAACACGCTGCCTTTGTTTTGGGCTCCTCAATCAGCTTCTAGTCTATGCAACTGCTTTCTCACCCAAACCAGTTTGGGAGAGATTTCGATCTCTACAACTTGCATTTGACTGTAAGGTGCTTTCAAGCTCTGTACTAAAACTAATGAAATCACGAGTAATACTCTTCCTACTATTGGACAGCATCAGTCTTTTCTGACAACTGTATTTTAGATTGTTCCAAATCCTCCACAGTAAGTGTTTAAAATGTTTTAAGCCATGGTATCTTGATCATGGGAATAAAAAACTTTGCTAAGAACCAGCATTTCATTCCACCGGTTGTGTTACCAGCTGCTTGTATCAAAAAAACCCCCAAAACTAAAAAACCCAAATCCCAACCTGAAAACCACCCCCAGCCGGGAGGACTGAGTAAGGAGGGAGAGGGCCTACATGAATCAGTAGCAAAAGGCAGACTACAGAAGTTATTAATGCACCTTGACAGCGTTCCTTGCTGGCAGCACCGGCTGATGTACAAACATTCTCCTTAACTAATCATTAACCTCATGACCTTGTGAAGCCGACTGAGGAAAAGCCTCAACTGGTTTTCAGAAAGTGCTGTGTATCGTAGCTAGGTTCTTCCATGAAAAGCTGAGTATCCGTTACATACAGCGCTTTCTTTAAAATAAGCTTGACCATTCCGTTGCCTTTTCATGCATACTGCCGTACCCCCCTTGGGGAAAGCGAACGCTGCTGCCAAGTTTGTACCCTTTGTCTTTTCTCAGAAGTCACAGGGAAGGCTCAAACGCTTGTAACAAGCTTATTATTTACACAGTTGTGATCCTTTGAGCCAGATGAGCTGCCTTTTGCACTAAGCGGGCTGCTCTGAAACACGCCTGTTATCAAAACCTATTTTTCTTCCGTGCAGTTGCAGGAACAGGCCCGTATTTAGGTACCATAGGTCATCTTACAGCACCGACATTTCACATGCAAGACACATGCCTAAAAACAGTACCACAGTGAGTCAACAGGAAAGCTAGACCTACTGGTTCCTCTGAAGAGGGGTTATAACAAAAGGTAAAGGGTTTCTCCACCAGCAGTGGTGGACAAGTCAAGACCCCCCCCTAAAGGAAGCTCAAGAGACCACAGGAGGCAGCTCAGGTCTCTGGAGGGGAGCTGAGTGCTCCTCTCCCCATCTCCATTTACCTCACTCAGCCTATCTGCTGCAAGGAGACTTCCCCCTGCCCTGCAAAGTGTTCACCAAACGGTGAATCTTTCCCCTCTGCTGGGAAACGCTGCAGCTCCTCCTCCAAGAAGATCTGTCCTTGTTTCTGTACATACCGCTGCCCAGCTTCGCTGTTCCTATCCACGCCACCCCACCACCAACTGCCTGCTGTACAGCCTCGAAACACAGCGTTTAATCAAGCCACACGCATTTACTTCTTAAATCATTTCTTGTGTTACAATGAATCCCTCCCTCATTTTTTTCCTTTAATTCCTGCAATTGTCAGTATCTTCCTAGTAGCACACCACCTAGGATTCAACTTCCATCATCTGGAACTGCCAATTTCCCTTCCCGCCCCCCCAGTCCCAGCACTTCTTGCTTCCACATCTTTCTACAGCCCACAGTAACCATGTCAAAAATCAGCATCCCCGCTGAGGAGGGGCTGCTGGCTGAAGGAACAGCGTCACACTCTGTGGTGGTTCTGCCAGAATCAAGATGCTTACAAAAAAACCCAAAAAAACCCCCAGCGTCACACTCTGTGGTGGTTCTGCCAGAATCGAGATGCTTACAAAAAAAAACCCAAAAAAACCGCATGCAAAGGTATGAAAGGTAAACATTGTGTTGGAGACAAAGCAAGGTTAATCAAAAAGGGTAAAGAAAAATTGCACTGCCGTTGTAGAACTTGGTTCTGTGCTGTGGGTAACTCTATGTACGCGTGTAGGAAATAAGCGATGGAAGACTCAAACCACGGAGTCCTGCAGTAAAACTTTTTACAAGCCACGCAGATCTCGCTCAGCACTCCTGAAGAGCTGTGCTCGCAGAGCGCTTCAGAACTGTTCAGCATCACCCCTGAAAGCTACCCAATCTCTCCGGAGCGACAATCTTTGTATCTAGAGGACAAGTTGGGCGTTTATCCTCTGCTGAACAGTGGTGTGCTACAGGAAAAATTTGGATCAGTCTTTCAAAGCCTGCAGATGGTAACTAAAAGGGCAACTTCCCCACTATTTAAACACAGAATGATCCAAAATAAATGTTTTGGTTTATCCCAACAGCAGCAGAACCCCAACCCTGTAATCCTTAAATTCAGATGAGGAAAAAAATAGATGCAAAAGCACTCTGTTGTCTGAACCACACAGAAGGTCTTTGACATCGTCTTTACACGGTCACATTTTCATTTTGGAAAGCCAAGAATCGGAGACCACTTGCCTCAGAGTTACAAGATAAGTCTCTTGGTATAAACCCTTTGCAAACCTCTGCTGCAGGAGGCCGGGGAGGGATCACCCACTTCTTCCCCCAAACCCTTCCAGAAAAGCGACCTTACAAACGCAATCCTGAAAAGCACCTTAATCTCTTGAGCCCAGTATCATGCACTCGACAGTGGTATTTAGCCACTCTTCTCAGCTTCCGACCCCCACAGCCATACCACCTACTTCCTTCCTGGTTTTTTTTCCTACTATAAACATAAAACAAAACACAAAGTCAACACGTCGCAGCCCTGCAAAAAACTCTCGCTCCGTTTTGGATTCTCCTTTCACGGGGCTCCAGCCTGAGGCTACGTAAGCGCCCAAGGTTACAAGTAGTACCGAAAATAGTATCGCCTACTTATACCACTGATTTTTAACCTTCATCCCAGGGAAGGAAAAAAAAAAAAGCTTAAAAATAGCCATCGGCAAGTTTCAAGAGACTTCTCTTTCATTTGGGAACCGAATTCCCGGCGTTTCCGAACTGCTGTTCCTAAAATAAGGACTGAGCAGTACATTTCGGGAGGACTGACGCTATCCAGAGTGCTTTTTACAGTAAAAAACCAGCGATTAAGAAGCGCCCAACCGCGAAGCTGC